CCGGACTGTCCGGTTGAAAACCGGACGGGTGGCAACCCTAAGTAGATATAGGCCACAAAAAAACCCCCCAAAACGCCCAAATATGAAATACTTACCTGTCTGCACTGCTCGCTCCCAGCTGCAGTACAAAGATCTGAACGGCCATGCAGGAGGATCATGTGGGCGGGCGCATGCACGGTCCACATCACCGTCAGGGAGAGGAGGAGAAACATTGTGTTAGTGAATGCATGCAGCCGGGAGCGTGCACGCTGGACAGACTTTGACAGACCTTTACTTTTTTTAAACATGACAAATACTGTTGTGTGTGGGGTGCCAGTCAAACTGGAGAAAATGTGTGCTCAGAAATACACAAAACGTATACTAGAATTATAACTAAAATGATTTTTCCCAGTTTTTTTTGGTAAAATTAGGTACCTCGGCTTATATTCGGGACGGCTTATACTCGAGTATATACGGTATCTAGAAACCACATAACTGGCTACGATATAAAATATAAAAAGCAGCCTCAAACCCTTTATTATTCAGCCTGGAAATACTAATTATTCAGGCAAGCACAGCAAAGAGGTAGATAAGATTGGGATACAATTGATAATTGTTCCAATTGCTGTTCTGGGCTATTTTCCCTTACCCTTGAAATATAAAAAGATCACTGTTTGCACAGTTCTCATTCACAACCAACTCATTTACTTTACTTCTAAACTTAAGTTCTTCAGATTCCTGAGTCATAGAAAAACACATTTTGCTAACACAGCCACTCATTATTAAACTTCTAGAATACAGTGGCGTCTAAGGCTGAGCAAACTGGTGCTTATTGTATTCTTGATATCTGATTCCCATACAAATAGTGTTATCAGTAGCAAAAACACTTGTGCAGAATTGCTTTTGTAATTAGCAAAACATTCTGAATAAAGGCTCATTTATAGAGGTGAGTAAGCTTGCTATAAGAGATTGAGTGTAAAGCCGAGTAGTATGATGAGCCTTAGTACTTGTAGATTGATCATACAGTTTTAGGATAAATGGATTTTTACATAGCTTAATGCTTCTGCGCACTTCACACACTGTGAAGTTTGCGCACTGCGCAAACTGAACCTTATTGCTTCTTTGGATTACTGAGGCATTTCATGCTCCCCATAATTGTGAATAGTATCTGCCCTGCATGTGTAGACACACATTCATAAGCTATATATTCAAGTGGAACTCCAGGCAAACTGCTAAATTACACCTGCCTAAGGATTTGAAATTCTGACCAGTCATTTTTGAGCTTCATGCACATATCAAGTCGGTAAGATCATTCTGCTACTTTTTGGTCTGGCATTATTGCTTCACCGCTTCCTAGATCAGCTTATGCTCACTTGGTCAAGATAATGACACTAATTGTCTGTCCAATGAATTGAAATGCTATTAAAACCAACATTACTGAGAATTAAACTGCACACATTCACCATACATTAGGAGTTGCCTAACCTGAATAAGTCACAGAAACGTGTTAAAATATCATAATACTGGCAATACGGAGGCTCTTTGGCCTGGATGGGAAGGGGGTTTAACACCGCGGATGTCAACTGGTTAAGGAACCCAAACCTGTATCCAGTATTATAAACTGAGAAACTTTGATAAGTTCATTTCAAGCTCTTTTTATACCATTTAGTATGTGCCTGTTGCACTATATGTCCCTAGTTTATTGGACAGTTCAGAGTACAGTGACTTATTAAGCCTGTGGTTAGACTATTAATAGCCAAAATAACAATTACATTTTAATACTGAGCATTAAAGAACCTTTAAAACGAGCTCTCCCTAACTCCAGTCAAGGAAGGCTTTAGGATCCCATGAAATTTGGTTATTCAAGGGCATATACTTATGCAGGGCTGCTTTCTTCCAAGCAGTTAATGGTTTGTCCACTGATTGCATGTGTGAAATGCAGAATAGGATTATTTATGTCTCTGCCGCGATCTGTGATCAGGCTTGGAATCCAGAAGCTGAAACAGCAGGCAAGTTTGTGATATGAACAGGAAGAGTTTTGTACACAAGTGGTCAGTAACAGTAGGCAGGTAGAAGTGTTGTCAGTGATCAAGCCGAGGTCAGTAGCCAAAAAAGATATTAGGTTCAAAGTGGAAGGCGATAAGCGTAGTTGGTAATTAGTAGGGATGAGCCGAACACCCCCGTGTTCGGTTCTAACTCAAACTTTCGAACATGGAAAAAGTTCTAATTCGAACTTAGAACTCAATGCAAGTCTATGGGGGTAGAACTCAGAAAATTAAATGTCCCCATTTTGAAGCCTTATATGCAATTAATTGGCCTTATATGCAATTAATTGGCCAAGTGTATGGGGATCCGGGTACTGCCCTGGGGGACATGCATCAATGAAAAACACACTTTTAAAAAATACCATTTTTAAAGGAGCAGTGATTTAACATCACTTAAAATGAAACATTAAAAGTAAACATTTTATCACAGTCTTGCACCTGACCTAGAACATGCTATGTTCGAGTCGAACATAGGTTCGACTCGAACGTGCAGCCCATCCCTAGTAATTAGTAGCCAAGGGTCGGTACACGAGAAGCAGTGTTAAGGATGTAGTTTTGCAATAAGAACAGGAAGCAAGATATTGGAGGAGCACAATAATCTAGCAAACATGAAGTGCAGAGGCATGGCTTAAATAGGAAGTCCAGGGTAAGAGCAAGGAGTTTAGAGTTCAGCAGAAAACTGGGTTTAACTGAGGTTGCACAAGAGATTGGGCAAGGAGCTATCTAGAGCTTCAGCTGGCTCAGCAGGAAGAGCCACTGCCAGTCACAGCAGAGACCCTGGGTTCAGATCTAGCTCCTGACAGACTCCTAGCTCTAAAGAAATTTAACAGTTTAAATTTAAGCTTCTTTCTACACTGAACTGTTGATCATTGCAATCAAACTAAACAAAGCAATGTTCATACTGCCAGGCCAGTGTGAACATTGCTTTGTTTACATTGATTGCAATGACGATAGCTCACAGAGCACAGGAAAGAGAAGGCAAAAGTAATAGATTATGCTTACTAAAGTCTCCAAGTGTCCAAAGACTACATCAAGAAAAACAAAGACAATCCACTCAACAAACCTGAAGAGAAACAGCAGGATATTTGCATAAAGTATGCAAATTATTAATGCAACATTTACCAGAAGGTAACTTATGATCTAATATTTACATTTTATACACTCAAATACATTTTTAGGATTATATTTCATGCACAGAATGATAGCTTCTCCCTCTAGGGTCTAACACGCTATTAGTGTGTTTATATACAGTAAGATGTGATTACAAATAATGTAAAAATCTCATCAGTCTGTTAATAAAGTTGATCATATTCACATAAATGTAAGTTTTTCTGTATTTTAAGTACTACAAACATCTTCCCAAGGACATTTTTCAAATTAAGAGACAAATGGGAAAATCACTGAAAATTAGGTCAATGCACCAACCCACTCTTGCTTTCACATTCATACCTGCACACAACCAGCATGGGGGGAGTCGGCTCTACTGAGACCCCCAAGAGTCTTTTTTTTCTTCCACTATGCCATGACAAGCGCTATTTTTAAAGTGTATTTCCACCTTTACAGTCAAATATGAGAAAACTCCACTATACGTTTGTTGTGTGTTCCCATTCACATACCAAAAAATAATTAAAACATATATTTCTTACCTTTTACTGTGTAATATTGGCAAAGGACTTTGTGCACATTCCAGGCTACTCTGAGCCGTCTGAAAGTGAAAGTAAAAGGGACAAACTGAGGGGCAGACTGAGCTGCTTCTCAAACATGCAATGCTTCTAAGGCTTCATTCTATCTAATGTTAAGGTGTTTTGACATTCCTGAGCAGGAACCCCAAATATACAGTTTAGAAGCAGCTGCTGTTACCCATTCCTGTTAATGATCGGGTAACAGAGGCTGCAGGTGAAAGTGGCAGTCTGCTTGTAATACTAGCAAAAGAGCCAAGATTTCAGTGCCTATGTTGAGAAATTTGAAGATGAATTTCTCCAAAAAGCTACCTGAAGTGAATGAGGGTTTCCTTTGAAGTGCTTTGGTGGCTTGTTCAAACTATGTAAATACTTTAGTGTGCATAGTCTGCCTACAAGTTCACTTTATGAACCAGTGTTAACATTTGCAGCATAGAAGGCTATCAATTGTGCATGGAGTTGAACATTATTGTTCTGCACATTTGAAAATGTATTTTTGTATCACACAGTATTATTCATTTTTACTTTGTGATGCAGAATTTAGGATGTTACAGCCAAGGAACTACTGGAATGAAGAAAAGGACTTCCAGTTTTACTACATTCTTCATTAATTACTTACCATATTTGCATTAGAAGAACATTTCTCTTCCGTATTTTGTTTTGTTTTTTGTTTTAGCATCACGCCTCAGTGTGAGGCACAAAAAGAATGTTGATAAACACGTAATAGAGCAGTCAACTTTAAAAATGAAGAAAAATATTACAAGCGAACAAAAAAAAAAAAGGTTCTCAAATGCAAGCTGAATGAACCAGAAAAGCAAGTCACTATTAACCATTGACACAAGCCCTTAAAACAAATCAGCATTGGCAGCACCCTATGTTTCATTAATGGCAGTTTTGGATGCTTCTATAGGTCAACTGATGACTGTTAACATGAGAAACTCTACAGTGTCAAAAGGATTTGGGTGAATTCTTTCTTTTGACAAACCCCTATTCAGGCTAAAATCAAACTTCTGGCTTTTGTGAAAATCAGCTAAATTCGCATGCATATGTTCAGGCAAAAGGAAAGTTCTGATTTTCAAACCTGTCAATCTCTACTTGTGGACAGCAGGGATACAATTGGACTGTAACACAGCTTTGTTTCCATTCTGAGCACAAAGCCTAAAATACTCAATTACTGACATGGCAAACAAATGTTCTAATCAGAACAGAAATACTAGTTACTTTAGACTCTAATGTTTGTGATATAAAAAAATAGAGATATCAAATGAAAAGCAAATATATTTATTATGCACTTTCATATACAGTCCTTTGCTGAATATTATACAAGGAATAAAATAAAAAGAAATTTACATGTTTAATTCAATTTACATTAGATATTTACAATTGAAAACAGGAGAAAAAAAAAAAAGTCAAATAAAAATGTTTCCATATAAAGATGGAGCAAAATACATTTGCATAGCAGAGTAAATTATTTGGGAAGTCATATTGTACAAACAAATTACATTAAATACTGCTGAAAGTAGAACAAAACCAGTCAACGATGTTGAAACTTTTATGTAATGAAAAGCAATGTTTACATGTTCATTGATTTAAAGAGATGCTACTTTATCCATTTTATCCTGCGGAGACAGCTTTTATGGCATATTCAGAAAGAATAAAAAGCTAGTGGTTTTACAAATCATTTACCAGTCTGTACGTGTGTGCAACGCTCACTGCTGGGGTGTCCGCGTGTGTGTATTTGTTATGTTGCAGCCTGACACTAGAGTTGTTTAAATTATTTTTTTTCATGATTCCACACCAAGTACCCCATAATGACAAAGTGAAATGTTTGCAAATGTATGAAAAAGGAAAAACTGAAATATCACATTGGCATTGGTATTCAGACCCTTTGCAACAACACTTGACATTTAGCTCAGGGGCTTCCCATTTCTCTTGATCATTACTGAGAGGTGTCTACACCTTGATTGGAGTCTATATATAGTGGTAAAATAAATTGACTGAACATGATTTGTAAAGGCACACACCTCTCTGTAGAAGGCCTCACAGCTGACAATGCATACAGTATCAGAGCAAAAGCCATGAGGTCAAAAGGAACTGCCCACAGAGCTCAGTGACCAGATTATTGCAAGGCACAGATCTGGGGAAGGCTACAAATACATTTCTGCTGCACTGAAGGTTCCCGAGAGCACAGTATCCTCTATAATTCTCAAATGGAAGAAGTTTGGCACAACCAGGACTCCTCCAAGAGCTGGTAGCCCAGCCAAACTGAGCAATTGGGGGAGAAGGGCCTTAGTAAGACAGAGGACCGATGGTCACTCAAAGCTCCAGAGATCCTGTGTGGAGATGGGACAAAGTTTCAGAAGGACAACCATCACTGCAGCCCTCCACCGATCTGGCCCTTTTGGCAGAGAGGCTAGACTGAAGCCTGTCCTTAGTGCAAAACACATGAAAGCCCGCTTGGAGTTTGCAAAAAAGCACCTGAAGGACTCTCAAGACTGTGAGGAACAAGATTATCTGGTCTGATTAAACCAAAATTGAACTATTTGGTCCTCAATTCTAAACGTTATTTCTGGAGAAAACTAGGCACCGCTCATCATCTGCCCAAAACCATCCCAACAGTAAAGCATGGTGGTGGCAGCATCATGCTGTGGGGGTGTTATTCAGCAGCAGGGACTGGGAGACTGATCAGGGTTGAGGGAACGCTGAATGGTGCATAGTACAGTGATATCTTCAATGAAAACCTGTTCCACAGCGTCAGGCCTCAGACTGGGCCGAAGGTTTACCTTCCAACATGACAACGTTCCTAAGCACACAGTCTAGACAACACAGGAGTGGCTTAGGAACAGCTCTGTGAATGTCCTAGAGTGGCCCAGCCAGAGCCCTGACTTGAACCCTATTGAACATCTCTGGAGAAACCTGAAAATGGCTATCCACCGACTGTCCCTCATGCAACCGGACTGACTGAGCTTGAGAGGATTCGCAAAGATGAATGGCAGAAAATTCCCCAATCCAGGTGTACAAAGCGTGTCACATCAAACCCAAAAAAACTCGAGGTTGTAATTGCTGCCAAAGGTGCTTCAACAAAGTACTGAGTAAAGGGTCTGAATACTTAAGTACATGTGATATTTCAGTTTTCTCTTTTTAACAAATTCATGTTATTATGGGGTGTAGATGAATGAGAGAAAAAAAAAGTAAACAATCCACGGTTCCTCACAGTCCCTCTGTGATCTCAAATGCACTTTACTATCTTACAATTAGTAATTTCAAAGAAAGGATTACAGGGCTGCTTTTTGCTGTAGTCATAACCAAACTCCAATCTCCACCCCACCCCCCAAAACACTGAATGAAATCTTGTTCCATAAGCAAAGCTTTCGTTTCTTCGAGACTAGACTACTTTGTTGGAAAGGGCTTGCAGCTCACTAAAATACTGGCCCCTGGGTGAACTTACATGCGTTTTACAGAGCTTCTGTTCGATTTCTACCTATTTCCTAATGCCTTCTGTCTATCTATATGGGAAGTAGATGCTTGACAATCCTTCTGCCTGCATTTTCTTTCAGAGGCGGGACACAAGGTATTGTGGAAAACAAAAGATTTGAATGCAGCTTAGTAGTACGCCTGTGCTTCCTGACAATGATGAAAAATGGATACTTATGCAGAAATGGCTGAATGTTGACCAACTATCTTCCATTAATGCAAAATTATCTGTTTCCTCCCAGAGGGCTTGTACAGAAACCAGCCTCTCTCCCCACCTTCTTTCCAGGAGAGAGGTCAGTCTATATGGACCACCTATGACCTGGCATTTGTGGATTATAAGTCATCCACACACATAACTATGGTCAGCCTTATTTCTTTTGTAACATTGACTGTGTTATCAAATCTTATGACAGCCAATAATATCTCAAATACACTTTTCAAAATGTGTAATCTGCATCTTCACTTTGGAGAATTTAAGCTCATAGTAATAGTAACAACTAACCCCTTTAAATGTAAAACTAATTTAAACTAAGCAATAAAAATTGTCTCTGACATGGGTATTTATTCTACCCAAAATACAAATGTTTCTCATTTAGAGCATAGAACAAATGTATAGCTCAGTTATGATAGGGAGCAGCAGAAATTGCAGCAACCAAAAGATTAACAAAATGAGAATTAAAGAGACTGGTGAAGGAACAATACAGCAAAACATACCCCCAGGACTTGATGACAGTTAGCATTTTTAAGGCTATTATTTAACCCCTTCGTGACTGACGACGTACAGTGTACGTCGCCAGCATCGGGGCTGTTTAAACAGACTCCCGGCGACTTTTGCCGCCGGGACTCTGTTTAAACTTGTAGAGCCGACTGTCGACTAAGCTATATTCCTTTACTAAAGAAGAAAGGACTGACATAAACAAGCTGACTCTATTGTCAGGTTCCCCGATATATATTTCAGCTGTATATGTAGCGATTTTCCTGGAATTCAGCTTTACTTCTCCAGGCATATAAAAAGGATACAAATGGTGCCCTGTATTTTTAATACATCATTAAATGTACTTTTTAAATACAAGCAGTGTAACTAGCTGAATATGACCGGATATTGGCCTTTTACAGTCCACTGTATAGCAGAGCTCAGACTGGGAGGGGAGAAATGCACAAGGAATCAGTTGTTCTGCAATGCAAAGAGCTTGCCATTAGGAGAAGAGGACAGAGTGATGAGGTCATCAATGTGCTGCTTCTCATTTTGCTGCCCAGGATTGTGCTGTGTAGCAGATCTGTTTAAATCTCAGAAATGTGTAGACAAAAATGCAAATGCTTTAGCAGGTATAGCAGCTCCCATATACTGTATGTATTTCATCTGTGTATTTAGCCATTTGTCTGGAGTTTATTTACTATAACAGTTTTTTGTTTTTATTGCGTCAGTTTTCTGTAATTTTGTTTCCTTGTTTTTTACAGGTTGAGAAAGCACAAGACTGTAGCATACTAGAAGACACCACAAACTGCAAGTCTTTTTTTCTGACCATAAAAGTTAACTGGTCTTTAGGGGTTTTTTTTTTTTTTTTTTAAAAGGACTGTCCATTCAAATGTGATAAATCAGTTATTGGTGGCCTACGCTGGGTCAAATCACATGCTGGCATCTTATACTTCTAGGGGACTTCAGAAGCAAGATTCTCAGCTAAGGTTCCTGTCTAAGTTCCCAATCATCTTGTTTTTTTTTGTGTGTGTTTTAGCTGACCTTTGGGTGTTCCTACTTTTTTATATTTTGGTATTCAAAAATGGAACCATAATCACGGGATGCCTTTTTTATGGCTGTCGGAAATGTTTTAGGTTTAAGTTTGGTCTCGGGCATCCACCAAAAACTGAAATGTCAATTTTGGGTTGACTGGATATTTAAAGTGCCTAATTGTAGGCAAAAGGAAAAAAAAAAAAAGTTAAAACGATGTGCTTAAAAGTGTGCACAAAATGCACTTTGTAACTGCACCTAAAATTCCCTTTACTGTCCCTAAAAGAATGCTACTTGCAGCTTTTCATATGAAACGGGAGCTTAAGTATGCATGTCCTGCTGTGAACTGTATGACTCTTCTCATATCTGCTGTTCAGACCTGAGACAAGCAGCTGAAATGTATTCATTTTTGTGTGTTTTAATAAGTAAGGTCTTGACAGCATCTGAAAAGATACAACTCTGTAGACTTGCAAAGCTCCAAAGTATCTTAACGCTTTGGAGGCCAGAAATATACAAGCAAAAAAGGCACACATACGCACAGCCTAGTCTTCTGCAGTGTTTACTTATTGAATGCAGCAACTCTTGTATCATGCCCAGACATGCCTTGCACAGTCAAGAGTCCAACAAATTCCCTCTCCTCCTATTTTGCTGTGGAGTTGAATGTATTCTGCTCAACTTTGCGAAAGACAAAACTCCTTTTAAAAGTGCACATTTATCTGCCACTGACTATCTCAGTGTTAAGTATTTTTCTGGTGTTAACCTTGTCAGAACTTTATTTAAATTAACTTTGTAACCTGTTATGTTGTTTTTGTCCAGTTAGAGGAAATATGTAGTTAACTTGTTTGTGTCAGACATGTGGACATGTACAATTGACAATGGTTCCCTTATTTTCTGTAACTGTAACGACATATTTATTTTCCTTATGTAGTATATAGTGGTAATAGTAATACAGCCTCCGTTGAAGAGCTACAACATGTTATCAAAGTTTTGAATTTCTTGTCCCTGTGGGACACATACTTGGATATATTAAAAATGTTCTTAAAGAGAACCAGTCTTAGTTGGGCTTCTGCAAGAATCTGAATATTAAGTGTTTAATTGCAACTGCAGAGTTAAACATATGAAACATTTATCTATACTGACTCTTTGACTTGAAAGTTGGGACCAGGGGTCATCTTAGGTCTGACATTTTGGCGTGTCATTTGCCTTTGTTTTTGTGAAAAATTTGTTTTTCTGAGGAATTTTCCATTTTCGGAGCTTTGGATGTATCCAAATTTCCGAACAAAAGAAATGAGGAATATAAACAAATCCGAACTTCTGAAAACGAAATTCGTTAGAGGCAGTCTGCACACATTTTCGTTTGTGGATGAGTTTTCCTTGCAGCAAAGGGACATTAAAATCTTTTTTTTTGTAAATGTCACTTTGGTGCAACCAACGAAACGAAAACAAAACGACAATTCGTACAGACTACTGCTAACGAATTTAGTCCGAATCCCGAAACAAATTGACTTTCGGACCCGAATCCCGAAAAACGAAATAACGCAAAATTCGAATCGAAACACATTTTTTGCTGGTGCACATGTCTGCCAAGGAGCAATAGACTAATGAGCCTACCCTCTGCTCACAAGTTTTTAATTTCTCCACACAAAAGAAAAAGTTACTCACCCATACAGATTGTGATATTAATGGAGTTTTCTTGCACATGGAATGAAATCTTTTAAAAAACCAAATATGTGCTATGTAAACAGTGTGTAACAAAGTTTTAAGCCTGCAGCACGAAAAGATATCTGTCCATGTTGACTATGCTCTAACCCACTTAACTGCTACATGCAAGTTCAACATCTCCAAGTTATTGACAACTTCCTATTTCAAACATGAGTAACTCTTGAGAATGTAATCACTGTATAACAATGGCAAGTTTGAGAAGCAAATAGATTAGAAGTCAGGTTGCACTGCACCAAAAAAGGATGAATAAGTCCAAGCGGTCACAGCCTTATATCTTTGTACGAGATTTGCCCAGTAGGGCTTGGGGTTGCCACCCCCAGCAGTCATAACTGCAGTCACAATAAAGATGGCTTAAACCAAAGTAAATTGAAGGCATAAATCCCTTTAAAATATAAACAGCAGACAGTATATTCCTTTAAGAGCCTTTATCACTTCAACTATTCAGGTAAAGAGGAAGAATCTCTTATTAGCCTACCCCTTGACCCCCTTTAGCTGCTTTCTAGGTATTGCGGAAAACGTGACCTCCACCCAGGTTTGGGGCAGGCCTAAACTATTTTACCGGAGGAAGAAATGGTCACCAGCCTTGTGTTATCTCCAACACCATCCTATATATAGCAAGCACAGGGTTTAATTTCGGAGCAGCAGCGTGAGGGAGAGCAAAAAAAAAAAGTGGTTTGGTGGGTAGGCTAGTAAGGAACTCCATAACTTTGCTCTAAATGGACAAACTGACAGTCACTTTTAACATAAAAAGCACTTTCTGGCATGTGTCAAGAAGACTTAAAAGTTTGATTTTAAGTCAAATTATGTAAAAATTGAAATTAGCAAAACATTTCTTACCAGTTATAGTGGAGTTTCCTTTTTGTAGTTAAAGCTAGGGTCAGTTCCTTCAATTTGAAGTTTAAGTGACTGTTTAAGGCTCAAGTCTGTTTCTGTTGAAGGATAGCCTTCTAGAACTTCTGGATGCCCCCGCCCTTGTACAGAACGCGGCACAGAAACCCTACCAAGAAAAACCTGATGATTCCCTTGAAGGTGATAATTGGGATTGGTCATAATTCCATTCCTTTTCTTTTGTTCTGCAGTCTGCTGTTGAATAAACTGCTGTGATGAACGAACAATTTCTTGTTGCACTGAAGATATCTGAATTTTTGAAGGGTCTGTAGGGATTTGCTTTAGTGGCACATTCATCCCAGGGCCAGAAATGGGAACATGCACTCTATTGTCAAATTGTTTCATTTCATATTCTAAAACCTTAGACTGGGAAGAGCAACTTTGCTTGTTTTTCTTTGTTACAGAACTAGATTTGTTTGAGGACTCTCCTTTGCCCACTTTACTTGTCTTTGTGGATTTTAAACAAGGTTTGACTTGGCTCCATTCAAATTCACTTGTTGGGGAATTGTTTTGTCCTAAAGATTGTGTTGTGGAAGAGGGGGATACTACTGACTGTCTACTTCTGCTACGTGGAAGTGAATGCTGCTGAATTTGCTCTGTGAAAGAAAGGCAATGGAAACTATCAATAGGCACGGTTTGAGCAGTTGCTGTAGATGAAGTTGTACGAAGGGAAGAATTTTTAGAACTCTTAAGTGAATTGTTTGAAAGAGAAGACTTATGTCTATCTACTGTAGAATCTGGGGATTCTGAAGGAGAACTGAACGCATGAGAGGGTCCATTGCACAATCCACGCATAGTCGGGTGAACATCACCACCTCCGGTGCTGGATGAGCTATTCGATTTAATTGTTAAAGACTGTACTTTTGTTGATGTTGTATTTAAGTTTTTTTGCTCCATGGTATGAACAGGAGATGGATTGCATCCATTGAGAGTCGATGCTCCATATTTTTCAAGCAACTTAATTATTTGCGTATGTACATTTTTAGCAGCAACACGCATAGCTGTCCTTCCGAATTGATCTGCGTGATTTGGATCTGCACCATGTTCCAATAAAACCTGCACAGCCTCAGTGTGTCCTTCCTGGGCAGCAATGCAAAGTGCAGTAGCACCTTGGTTACATGTATTATCAACAAGAGCACCATTATCAATTAATAGCTGCACCACTTTTACATGCCCTTGCCAGGCAGCGGACTGTAAGGCAGAACGTTTCTCATTGTCAGCTGCGTTAACATCAGCCCGGTAGGACAGGAGGGTCTGCACCATCTCTAAATGTCCCTGCCAGCAGGAAACATGCAGAGCTGTTCTCCCTTCAGTATCACTAGCTTCCACATTAGCTCCATTTTCTAAAAAATATTCAGCCATTGTTAACTGATTTTCCAGCGATAGAATGTAAAGTGTTGGGCGTCCATCAGCATCTTTGGAATTGATGTCGGCATCATTGCTCAAAAGCAATTCAACTATATCCCTATGTCCTTCCAAAGCGGCAACACGGATGGAATTCCGACCATCATATCCTTTTTGATCAACAGGAGATTTATTTTCCAAAAGAGTCTGTACACAGTCATAATGTCCTTCCTGGGCAGCCAGAAGTAAGGGTATTCGACCATCATTATCAATTTCATTTGTTCGAGCTCCTTGTTCAATTAATGCTTCACATATTAATCTGTGACCCTCAAAAGCAGCCATATGAAGTGGAGTCCATCCGGCATCATCTCTATGGTTTTCATCTAGGCCTCTGTCCAGAAGTGTCCTTACTACTTCAACATTTCCTTGAGCTGATGCTATGCTAAGAACAGTACGACCTTCACTGTCAATACTATCTACAGCAGCACCCCAGAAAAGTAATGTATTAACAACCGATGCATGCCCCATAGAAGCTGCAGCAAGGAGGGGAGTACGTCCATTGTTATCAGTGTGATCAACATCTGCACCACCTTCTAAGAGAAGATCAACCACATCCACATGTCCCTCATATGCAGCCACAAGTAGGGGAGTCATTCCATCTTTATCACAATGGTCTACCTCTGCCCCCCTCTCAATTAAGAGACTGACCACAGACGCATGACCTTTGCTTGCTGGAACACAAAGGGCTGCTACAGATAGGGCTGTTCGTCCATCCACATCTTCATGATTGACCTCTGCACCATGATTTAACAGATGCTCCACAATTTCTCTATGTCCCATGTATGCTGCTGCAATTAAAGCAGTTCTGCCTTCATTGTCAGCTTTATTAACTTCGGCCCCATGTTGCAGTAAATTCAGTACGATATCTTCGTGCCCTCCCCATGCTGCTGCTCTTAAAGCTGTTCGACTGTCAGCATCTGCACAATCAACTTTGGCTCCAGCATACAAAAGTGCAGACACAACCTCAGTGTGGCCACCCCATGCTGCAGATCTCAGTGCTGTCCACCCATCATGATCACAATGATTTATGTTTGTGCCACATCCAATTAAACAATTTACAACCTTTACATGGCCTTGGCGGGCTGCCAAAGTAAGTGCTGTTTGTCCATTGGCATCCTTAATTTCAAGATCAGAGCCTCTTGTGACTAGTAAGTTGACCACATCAAGATTACCACTATATGCAGCATTAGCCAACAGAGTTCTTCCATTTGAATCACACTGATTAACAGATGCACCATTATCGAGGAGCGTACGGATTGAATCTTCTCTTTCTAAGGCTTGCCGTACAATGCAACACGTTCGGTCATCTTCACTGTCAACATGGGCTCCGGCTTTCACTAGTAATTGTAGCACTTCTTGTTCCTTTGGTATTACCGTACATAAGGAGTCTTTTACACATGTTCCATTCCAGATCATCCACAAGGCCAGCTCTGAATTTGTTAGCTGCAAATTTGAATGTATTAGATGTAATGCAAACTCCTGAACCTCTACTGGGGTCAATTCTTTTGCTTGGCATGTGTAACTCATTGCAAGCATCCGATGTCCCTCAGCGGCATTGCATAAATATTTCTGAGTGCAGTGCTTTACATCAAGCAGCCACTCTGCAAAACTGTAGTGGAATAGGATTTTTGTATTTCCTAGCCCATCAACTAGTACTTTCGACAGAACATCCATCTTACGCTGAAAGTCCTCCATGGTCAATGACATGTTTTTGGTCCAAACCGCATGAAATAGTTCTATAGTCGTTAGTGGTCGACAAGCAGCTAGAATAACATTTAAAATTGGTTGGACTTTAGCAAACTGTTTTCTTACAAACAGCCTCTGACACAGCCAGAGGTATAATCCATTTAAAGTTCCAGGAATATCACGAATTTCACGCAGCATGATGAAGCTTTCTACAACACCATCCAATACACGCTCCAGATAAAGAAAGCACCCGCTGCTTTTAATGTGAAGCTGATTTAACATCTCTGCAGTCTCCTTTGTTAAATGTTGTCTCAGTGCTTCTTCTTGGTCTAAACGGTGAAGAATATATTGTTGGACATCTTTAACTATGTAGGCCTTTCGAAGATCATCTAAACTTATCTTCCGAAAACCTGCAAATAAAAAAAAGACAGTATAATTAGTAAATATAGTACACTGGACATAATATAGAACCTCTACAGCGAAGACATTTTGGAAACTGTATGTCAGTTTGAACACAGAATTTTGTATTTCCATAATTAGACCAAGATTTTTCAAGTTGGCAAACTACATTCTTTACTCTGATAAGGAAAAGCTGTTCCCCCCCCTTATTAGACATTCCAGTGACCAAAAGAAAAAAACATTACGGTACTTCCTATGTTTATTTATTTTTTTAGAAAATTCCAGTGACCCACATCCTCCTGTAGGTAGCAGTATAAAACAAATGTCTATGAATGTTGTGTCCCTCAATGAATAAAAAAGAAAATGGTATTCATTCTGCAGATTAGCGTAGCAAAGGCACCCTAATGGCTATTTTTTTTCCCAACACAGCATGGTGGTCTTATATACTTTCCATATATGTACAGCCACTTGTTCCCTTCAGTCAGTCCTAAGAGAACTCATGCAAAATGTAATGTAATCCCTTGCTGCTGATTGGCTGAGTGAGGTGTGCCCTTTCTTGAACTTCCACATTAGGCTGACATTATTTGTGCTTAAAACAGAACTCATTCTAAAGGGTGTCTCACAGTGACAGCAATAACCTACAGAGATGGGTGTATACTTGCTCATGTGTCAAAACACCTGTACTGTATTTACATATTAATCAACAATGGATACAAGAAAAATGCAAAAAGTAAAACACATATCAGTATATTTATCTTATGGATTTTGTTATTGCATTCTACCAAGTAACATGGTCTGGCTAAAATTATTTTTATTGATAAAAGATTTATTGAATAGGACAATTATTTAATTCAATTAAAAAGGACGATTTTCTCAGAGACCGTAACATTCAGGGGCACAGGTTCTGTTAAGAACAAGAACACGTGGGGACTCATACAGAAGCATACACATCCAGAGTAACATGCATACACACAATGGGTTGAACTTGATGGACCTGTGTCTTTATTCAACCTCAAATACTATGTAACTACCGTATGTAATTATGGGTGGACATCCAAAAATGTTGGTCCTTTCAGAGCAAATACCACTCTGTGTTTACACCGATGCCACTGTGATTACCTTTAGTCCCTGTTCACACCTGGGTGTTTTGACGCTCAAAGCCAAGTGCGACAAAACTCTCAACACTAGAAATCCTATTAATTTTTATGGCCCCCGTTCACACCTGAGAGAATTTGTTGCAAGCTGTAAAACGCCGAACGCTGGAAAAGGTACATGAGCTTCTTTCGGGCAGATTACAGCACGTTTGGCCGCACAGACTTCAATGGAAGCGCATTAAAACGCGTGACAAGCGCTTTGAACATTTCTGTGCGCGTTTTGTGCACGGTTTCTCATTCACAGCAATGCACTTTGATCTGCTCAATAAAACGCGCATCTTTGTATACACGTAAAAATGGGCAAGACGTGCACAAACCATGGCAGGGAAAGACCTACGTAAAAACACGTGTTTTACGCGCGGAATGGCTGACGCCTAGGCGTGAATGGAGACTTAGGACATCCAAAGAGAAATGCAGAAGGCAAGAAACCAGACGTTTTCCAAGTGATATTTGTCCACAGTCATATAGAGAAAAATATGGCATGGGTATAAACTGTATGCCTGGCTTGTATGATTAGGTAACTGCACACAAGCACTTTATTACAGGCGTAAGCTTTTTAAAAAAAAAAGAAACCAGCGGCATCAAAGTCAATGAACTAGTGTAAACTTATCTTGAAACCATTTCTGCAGATATGTGCAGAACACAAATATTCTGTACTGTAGTGTTATAGAAATTGATTCAAACATATCCCTCATGCAGAAAACAAAACATGAGATCACTACTATAGATGTGGGGTTTTTGATCTTTGCATTCAGAAGATTATACAGGTTTATAAGTGACAGCAATGCACCTGGTTACTGGAATGCATCTACGCTATAAAAAGTCACGTGTGTACAATTTTCTGTAGTAATCAATGTCAACACACAACTCTATTTATTTTGTTGTGCCACTTCAATCCCATAGCCTTCCTCCCTTTCCATAACCGCCTAGGGAAAAACAAAAATCAGTATACCTCTCCAAAACATGCACATTTCTAGGGCTGCAACTAACGATTATTTTCATAATCCATTAGCTGGCCGATAATTTTTTTCCATTCATTGGTTAAAGAAAAAATTAAATACCATTGTTTATTTAAAATGAAATCCACAAATAGGAGTGTTACAAAGTTTACTTCAGAATAAAACTGCAAGCACATTGTTTGCAATTGCACGGTACAGGAATGCACGGCATTGCAGTACTGTGCGTTCCAGTGCGGGTGTTCATACTGCAGGAGGCGCGTTTGGGCCAGCACAACACATCCTGCAGCAGAATTTATCAGGCAAAAAACAAAAATTACTTTTCCAACCTTTTTTTAATATTTTTATTTTAAATAACTGAATGTATTATATTAGACATTTAAATTAAGTTTCCTGGATTCAAAAAAAATGATTGCTCTCACTCTGGCGCACTCAGCAATATGCAATCGTCGTTTTCGCACGTAGTTGCACCCGACTTGTTTTTCTGTTAATATGCGCGTCAGGGGACTTTAAACTTTTTGGGGGTATTTTTAATTGTATACATTTCTTTTTAACTTCATTGCCATCACATGGGGGGGCTCAAAAGCCCCCTATGTGATGGCACAGGTTCTCTTTAGGGTGACCTCTAGTGTCACCATTCCACTTCACTGGAGAATGACAGCTGCCTCCAGAGGCAGTTGATGTAAATACAGCATGCAGTGGCTTAGAGCAATAGCCTGCCTCCTATTGGCTATTTTAAATTGAAATAGCCGGTTGGCTATTGTACCCGCCCACTGCCTGCTGTCCATCAGCAGAGGAGGACCTGAAGGAGAAAGTTCTCCTTCAGGTCCTCCTCTGCTGTTTGGCTATTGACATTTAAAATAACTAATAGCAGGCGGGTACGGTAGCAGAGGAGGATTGCGGGCACGGCAGCGAGGGGAATGCAGAGGCTCAGCGGTCTCTACTCCCAGCTGGGTGCCGGCTGCATCGTTCTGTGTTCTCTCCGATTAAAGGACACAATCCATGAACACACTCAAAACCGCTTTTTCCAAAATTGTAAGGTGGGTGCTGCAGCTGTTGACAGATGGCAACCGTATAAGTAACAAGTAGGAAAATGGACACCAGCACTCCAATGGCAAACCAGATATGTCTGTTTATTGAGGTATAAGAAGATTAGCAAAATAAACTCAGTGCAACGTTTCCGGGTCTCAAAGGATCCCCTTCACCAGGCACAACAAGTGTTGTGCCTGGTGAAGGGGATCCTTTGAGACCCCAAAACGTTGCCCTGAGTATATTTTGCTATGCTTCTTATACCTCAATAAACAGAAGTCTGATTTGCCATTGGAGTGCCAATGTCCATAATTCTACCATCTGATTAAAGGGGACACAGACCAGAGCATGTAGCGGGTCCCAGAGAGGAGAGCGTGGTGGAGCAGAGCAACGGCAGCAGCAACCAATCGAAAATCAACTAATCAATCAATGATGAGAATCGTTGACAACAATTTTCCATATCGATGATAGATCTTTGCGCCTAGTTTTTTTCTGCCCTACATATTACCCCATGTTTTATCCCTTTAGAATTGCTGCAAGTATTAAAAAAAAACAAAAAAAAAACTATTGATCTGCCAGAAATCCAGCGTTCTCCTACCTTTGAGCCGATGCAAATGCATTGAAATCCCAAGCAGTGTTGTCAGTCCTGCCCAGTTCTCCCTTCTGGACTAGAGAATAACTACCCCTCTTTTAGACCTAATTAAGGGGAGGTGTTCAGTAGTACAACGTAAATACACAACCTGTTTAAATAATGAACTTAACATAAACTTAAGACCAAGTCGGGTTTGCACAGGCAGAAATGATGGGGAAAGAAATGATGAGAGGACTAAAATTCCAGCTTATATTTTTGTACCCTTACACAAATGTTTGTAATAAAAAGAAATGTCATTAAAGAGAATCCTAAGCATTTGTTGGGACCTCAGGAGTAATCAGAGATTTTACCTGAATGATTCATTCTTTACACTTTTTCCATAATAATGGTGGGCTGCCCGAATCAGCTCAGGAAAAGACCCAATCCAGCAAGCCCTCCCCCCATTCACTTCTGCATCATTTGCAGGTCATTTTTAATAGTGCTCTATTGCTCGCTATCAGCAGCAACAGATCCCTATTTCTTCTCATATGTTGGTATAAAGGTGCCCACACACCTTGCGATAATCGTACGATAATTGCAGGAAATCCAAGATGGGCAGATCGTACGTTTTTTTCATTACCTTACAACCCTCGCAAGACTTCAGTCTTGCGAGGGTTGTAAGGTCTGTGGCCAGAAGGCAGAGCGAAACTAAATCAGCTCTGCTTGATTAAGAGCCCATTCACACCAGCTGTGTTGGGCAGCCTTATCCAACACAGACCCAATACATAGACCAGATGCTGCTGTGGTGTACAGGGAAACAGTAAGCCATGCAGTACCTTTTTTTCTGCACTGCTATGAATAGAAATGAATGAAATGTCACTTGGTGACATTTTAATAAAGTTAAAAAAGGTTATGCAATGCGTGCTGGTGTGTGCTACTTGTGTGAATGGGCCCTTAAAGAGGACTGCTAGTAGACTGCTAGCTCATAGAAATGCTAATGTGATGAGTGTTAAACACAATATAAAAAGCACTGTGTTGTATTGTGCTGTAGCAGCATTGCGAACCGTGGAGTGTATTGATTCACTCTTGTGCTTAATACTGGCCTGTGACTGGCACTGACAGCCAACGGCTCTAGCACTAACCACAGCAAGAATCCAACAACACTGCTGAAACCAGGCACAGTTCTCAGATACCACATGGACTATTAAATGCAATCTCAGCATCTGGTAAAACAATGAAACCTGTGACTAAAATAGTTAACAGGACATTTTCACTATAAAATTCTCACCATGAAGCAAAAA